GCCAAGGTCACATCGCAGCGGTACACAGTGAGCGTGACCCGGCCAAGGTCACATCGCAGCGGTACACAGTGAGCGTGACCCGGCCAAGGTCACATCGCAGCGGTACACAGTGAGCGTGACCCGGCCAAGGTCACATCGCAGCGGTACACAGTGAGCGTGACCCGGCCAAGGTCACATCGCAGCGGTACACAGTGAGCGTGACCCGGCCAAGGTCACATCACAGCGGTACACAGTGAGCGTGACCCGGCCAAGGTCACATCACAGCGGTACACAGTGAGCGTGACCCGGCCAAGGTCACATCACAGCGGTACACAGTGAGCGTGACCCGGCCAAGGTCACATCGCAGCGGTGGCACGCGGTAGCGTGACCCGGCCAAGGTCACATCTCAGCAGTGTCATGCGTGTAGCATGACCCGGCCAAGGTCACATCGCAGCGGTGGCACGCGTGTAGCGTGACCCGGCCAAGGTCACATCGCAGCAGTGTCATGCGTGTAGCGTGACCCGGCCAAGGTCACATCGCAGTGGTGTCACGCGTGTAGCGTGACCCGGCCAAGGTCAAACGGAGGCAAGTGCGCGATCATCGAGTACAGAATCCCCTGCGGACTTCATGCCCCCCCCCCCCCCCACATAACCCCCTAAACACCCCCCCACCCCCAGAGGAATATCCTGAGCTATATTTAAATGAAGGAGCAGAGAGCGCACTGTAAGCTCACTGGCTGTGAGATTAAACAATCTCGCACCCATTGTGAGTGTCTCCCAGTGTGTGTGCTTGGATTATATTACGGGGAGCGGTGGGGCAGCGGTTAGCTCGCTGCGCTACGAACCCGGCGAGCTGCGTTCAAATACCGCTCAGGGTGGTCGTGAAGGCTGTGGTGTTGGTGGAGGAGGAGGTGGTGGAGGAGGAGGTGGTGGAGGAGGAGGTGGTGGTGGTAGTGGTGGAGGAGGTGGTGGTTGTGGGGGAGGAGGTGGTGGTTGTGGTGGAGGAAGTGGTGGTTGTGGTGGTGGTAGTGGTGGAGGAGGTGGTGGTGGTAGTGGTGGAGGAGGTGGTGGTGGTAGTGGTGGAGGAGGTGGTGGAGGAGGAGGTGGTGGAGGAGGTGGTGGTGGTAGTGGTGGTGGTAGTGGTGGTGGTAGTGGTGGTGGTAGTGGTGGAGGAGGTGGTGGTGGTGGAGGAGGTGGTGGAGGAGGAGGTAGAGGAGGTGGAGGTGGTGGTGATGGTGGAGGTTGTGGTGGAATGGTGGTGGTGCTGGAGGAGGAGCGGTGGCGCAGTGGTTAGCGCTACGCTGCGCTATTACGAACCCAGTTCGTTTCCCGCTCACAACCAATAATACCGATGACGAATATCTGAACCATGTCGGGGCCGCCCCTAGGTCGACTCAGCCTCAAATGAGTGTGTAAACATCGCCAGCATGGAGACAAAGGCGGCCGGGCGCGATGGTGCTGGCCACCCACCCCCTCGTGTGCCTTGCCGGCCTTTATAGGTGCTGCTCGCTAACAGCACTTGCGCCAAAACGTCTGTCAAGGCTACCCGGGTGGGGGGGGGGGGGGTCTTTGTCCTGTGAAGACGATGGCCCTCGTGAATGAAGATGAATCGTAACTTACGATCTCTCACACGGATCCGCAGATGCTGTGGTAAGAACAATCGTAACTTTAAACCGTGGTTGTGGCTTAACCCAGCCCATCATCATCACTAGTATCATCCACCCGGGGTCGATAAAGCGAGTACCACTCTGGTGGTACTTAATTAGGGCAATTCAAGTGGTTGCTCGGTGCGTTGACTCGCCATCTCCTCCACGCCATAGGAATGTGGAATTTCCACCACTGAAAAGTCCTCGCGGCCCCAGCACCGCCAGCTCCGTCGTTCCGCGTTGTGCCGATGTCGTCCTGCTGCCCGCTCGTGACTCAAACCAACTTTGTCCTCCACGCTGCACGCGCCCGATGATTGTTCAACACGTCCCACATGACGCGCCCAGCAATTCACGCTGTGTGCGTCACGGAGAACGCGTGAATAGAGAACACAAATCTCCTGTGTCACCTGACCACACGCGTGGGGCAAGTGCTGTTAGCGAGCAGCACCTATGAAGGCCGGCATGGTACACGAGGGGGTGGGTGACCAGCACCACGCCCGACCGCCTTTGTCTCCCCAATGGCGATGTTTACTAAACACCGCACCGGGTACCCATTTGAGGCTGAGTCGACCTATAGGGGAGGCCCAGGACCGGTTCAGATAATCGTCACCGGTGCTGGTGGCCCTGAGCAGGAATCAAACTTGGATTCGCCGAGTTTCTTAACGCAGCGCGCTAACCGCTGCGCCACCGCTCCCCACGTGTACACACACGCGCGCGCGCAGAGACGTCAATCGTAATTAGAAGCGGCTGTGTTGAATCAGGCGGCGCTAATTGCTTCGCGCTTCTCGTGCGACGCGTTTATCAAGCATCGGGCGCGTGCAGCGGGTAACGAGTTTATTTGTATTTTGAATGGGAGAGGAGTAAAGTGGTGGTGGTGGAGCACAGAGGAGTGGAGTTTTGGAACACCCTACTCCATTAGCTGGTGGTAACTATATTTACCGAGACCCTGGGCCGAGTAAAGAGTGGGATTAGTGAGTGGGGAGCTTAGGTGAGGATAGGCCGAGGAGTTGGGCGGGTACCGGGACGGTCCACGGGAAGGAGCAAGTGTCGAAGTGCCGACCTCGGGTGTGATCCTGTGACCCTGTACGGGAGTGTGGTCATTAATACACTGGCAATAGCCCTTACAGAGAAGATCGTCTCCGTGTGAGTTTACACCTCTACACATGGACAACTTTGAAACAAGAGCACTTGCCTCGAGTACATTAAAACCATCTCTTTGGTTTAGATATGTGGATGACACTTTGGTTGTATGGCCACATGGTAAAGATACACTTAACGATTTCCTAAATCATCTCAATGCACAACACGCGGCCATCCAGTTCACCATGGGAATGGGGGTGAATAACACACTCCCGTTCCTGGATATTATGCTTGGGCATGGCCTAAATGGTAAAATAACACACAGCTTTTACAGAAAGCGAACGCACACTGATGCCTATCTGAATGCAGATTAACATCATCACCCAGCTCAGACATTCTCTAATCAAGACGCTCATAAATCGGGCTAAAACAGTGTCAGGTGGTGAAAGTCTAGTGAGGGAGATGAAACATGTTAAAGAAGCACTACGACATAATGACTACAATAATGCTCAAATTAACAGAGCACTGAATGCGAAATCACGATCGCAAAGCAACGCTGCTGAAAGCGATCAGATTGTTAAAACAATTAAAATACCATATATGTCAGGAGTAACTGACAAATTAGCCCGTGTTTTGCAAAAGCAAAACATTAAAGTAAGATTTGGTACAGTACACAAAATAAAAAAAATAGTATCTTGCACTATATTGGACATAACATCAGCGTAAGACGAAAAGAACACCAGAGAAATATTAAACTATCTCAAACACAACTGTCGGCAGTGGCAGAGCATGCTTGTCAACAAGGACACTCAATTGATTTGGATAACGTTGAAGTGTTGTGTAAAACTAGTTACTACTGGCAAAGACTAATGAGAGAATCCATTGAAATTGAGAGAAATAGAAATAACTTTAATCACTCTGACAGCTACAAGCTTAGTGCGGCCTGGAAGCGTATTATTAAATAATAAATATTACAATTGCTTATAGGGGAAACAAATACTCATTAACTGATTACTAACGTAGTATATAATTACAATAACCATCCCCCCCCTCCGCCCCCTTCTGATCTCTGCACCTGCTTGGGTATCATAATTGGGTTAAGTTATTGAATAACACACATTAAAACTAATTACTAATCTACAACTAAACATAATGAACTGATTACTAATCTATTTATAATAACAATAACCTCCCCCCCCCTCACCTTTAATTTATGCACTTAAGTGGTTATTGTAAATGGGTTCAGTTATTACATAATACACATAACGAATTACTAATCTACAACTGATTACTAATCATAACAATTGACTGATTACTAATCTATTATATAATTACACAGCCTCCGCCTCAAATCACTGCCCCTGATTGGGTTAGCTGATGATGACGTCACCCCGCTGCTGCTCTATTTAAGACCGGGGGCAAGCGAGGGCTTCGCCAGTCTGGCCGATTGCCCCGTGACGCTGCTTGATGTGACCACCTGCCAAACGGCGGTCTCAGAAGTTGTCAACGTTGTGGGTTCACTCGTCAACACACCGCTGTGGGGCTCAAGCAGTGAACTATTCGCCTTTTGTCAACGTGACACTTTTTTGCTGATTGGCCGTGTCGGGTGGTGGAGGGTTACGACACATTAAAAAAAATAACGCGATCTCACCCAAAAGCGTTTATTATGAACAAAGCAAAGTGCCGATTAAACCGAGGATCATCATCTTCTTGTTCCCTCTGATCCTACCAATAAGGGAGAGGAGAGGGGGAGAATGGAACCGGACGTTGGAAGAGCTTCGATGAGATTCGGATGAGGAGAGAAAGAGAGGGGGGGGGGGGGTAGCGGAGGAGAAAGAGAGGGGGGGGGGGTAGCGGAGGAGAAAGAGGGGGGGGGGTAGCGGAGGAGAAAGAGAGGGGGGGTAGCGGAGGAGAAAGAGAGAGAGGGGGGGGGGGTAGCGGAGGAGAAAGAGAGAGAGGGGGGGGGGGTAGCGGAGGAGAAAGAGAGAGAGGGGGGGGGGTAGCGGAGGAGAAAGAGAGAGAGAGGGGGGGGGTAGCGGAGGAGAAAGAGAGGGGGGGGGGGTAGGGGAGGGAAGAGCAGAGGGAGGTGATGAGGGGGAGAGTGGGAGAGGTAGCGGAGGTGAGATAGAGAGGGGGAGGTGATCCGGGAGAGGGGGGAGCAGAAAGCGAGAGGGGGGGAGGTAGGGGAGGAGGAGAGAGAGGGGGGGAGCGGTAGGTGGAATGGGAGAGGGGGGGGGGTGATACGGGGAGAGAGGAGAGAGCTAGGAGAGAGGGGGGGGGTGGTATAGGAGAGAGGCGGGGAGGTGGTTCTAGGAGAGGGTGAGTAGGGAGGAGAGGGGAGCGAGGAGCGAGCGAGGATTGAGCGCGCTCCGTCTCCCCGCCAGCGTCTCTCCCCTCGCTCTCCTCCTCCTCGGCGCCGGCGGCGAGGCAACAGGTCGGGCTCGCAACAACAACACCACCACCACCACTGTCGTATTCACAACGGCTCGCAACCACAATCGCTCGCAACAACCTTGCACAACGACACTCACAGTCAGTGTCACATTGACCTTGCAAACCACTGACAGCCGCTCACAACAACAACCAAACCACAACCACTACAATGTTTAATATTGACAACCTAACCACCACCACCACCACTGTTTAATATTGACAACCAAACCACAACCACCACCACCACTACAATGTTTAATATTGACAACCAAACCACCACCACCACCACTACAATGTTTAATATTGACAACCCAACCACTACAATGTTTAATATTGACAACCAAACCACCACAACCACCACAATGTTTAATATTGACAACCAAACCACCACCACCACAATGTTTCATATTGACAACCAAACCACCACCACAATGTTTAATATTGACAACCAAACCACCACCACCACAATGTTTAATATTGACAACCAAACCACCACCACCACCACAATGTTTAATATTGACAACCAAACCACCACCACCACTACAATGTTTAATATTGACAACCAAACCACCACCACCACCACTACAATGTTTAATAGTGACAACCAAACCACCACCACCACAATGTTTAATATTGACAACCAAACCACCACAACCACCACAATGTTTAATATTGACAACCAAACCACCACCACCACAATGTTTCATATTGACAACCAAACCACCACCACCACCACAATGTTTAATATTGACAACCAAACCACCACCACCACAATGTTTAATATTGACAACCAAACCACCACCACCACCACCACAATGTTTAATATTGACAACCAAACCACCACCAACCACCACAATGTTTAATATTGACAACCAAACCACCACCACCACCACAATGTTTAATATTGACAACCAAACCACCACCACCACCACAATGTTTAATATTGACAACCAACCACCACCACCACCACAATGTTTAATATTGACAACCAAACCACCACCACCACAATGTTTAATATTGACAACCAAACCACCACCACCACAATGTTTAATATTGACAACCAAACCACCACCACCACCACAATGTTTAATATTGACAACCAAACCACCACCACAACCACCACAATGTTTAATATTGACAACCAAACCACCACCACCACAATGTTTAATATTGACAACCAAACCACCACCACCACCACAATGTTTAGTATTGACAACCAAACCACCACCACCACAATGTTTAATATTGACAACCAAACCACCACCACCACCACCACAATGTTTAATATTGACAACCAAACCACCACCACCACCACAATGTTTAATATTGATAACCAAACCACCACCACCACCACAATGTTTAATATTGACAACCAAACCACCACCACAACCACCACAATGTTTAATATTGACAACCAAACCACCACCACCACAATGTTTAATATTGACAACCAAACCACCACCACCACAATGTTTAGTATTGACAACCAAACCACCACCACCACCACAATGTTTAATATTGACAACCAAACCACCACCACCACCACAATGTTTAATATTGACAACCAAACCACCACCACCACAATGTTTAATATTGATAACCAAACCACCACCACCATTACTACAATGTTTAATATTGACAACCAAACCACCACCACCAACCCAAAACCAATTGACTGTCACAAAATTTCACAACAACAAAAACAGCAGCTGCACCACTCAACAACGCTGTTCACAACAACAACAACACACACAACAACAACAACAACACTGTTCACAACAACAACAACACACACATCAACAACACTGGTCACAACAACAACAACACCACTGCTCACATCACAAACAACAACACACACAACAATACTGTTCACAACAACAACAACACTTCACAACACACACAACAAGAACACTGTTCACAACACACACAACAACAACACTGTTCACAACACACACACACAACAACACTGTTCACAACACACACAACAACACTGTTCACAACACACACACAACAACAACACTTCACAACACACACAACAACAACACTGTTCACAACACACACACACAACAACACACACAACAACACTGTTCACAACACACACAACAACAACACTGTTCACAACACACACACACAACAACACTGTTCACAACACACACAACAACACTGTTCACAACACACACACAACAACAACACTGTTCACAACACACACACAACAACAACACTGTTCACAAGACACACAACAACACTGTTCACAACACACACAACAACACTGTTCACAACGCACACACACACAACAACAACACTGTTCACAACACACACACACACAACATACACACACAACAACACTGTTCACAACATACACACACAACATACACACACAACAACACTGTTCACAACATACACACACAACACACACACAACATACACACAACAACACTGTTCACAACACACACAACAACACTGTTCACAACAACATTGTTCACAACAACACACACAACAACACACACAACAACACACACAACAACACACACAACAACACACACAACAACACACACAACAACACACACAACAACACACACAACACTGTTCACAACGACGACGTTGCACGACCAATCGGCTCCTCCACAACTCGCCACGTAGATCACCAAGGTGCAAACACACACCATCACACACACACCATCGCACACCATCGCACACACCGTCACACGCAGACACACCATCACACACACACACACCATCACACACACACACCATCACACACACACACACCATCACACACACACACCATCACACACACACCATCACACACACACACCATCACACACACACACCATCACACACACACCATCACACACACACCATCACACACACACACCATCACACACACACACCATCACACACACACACCATCACACACACACACCATCACACACACACACCATCACACACACACACCATCACACACACACCATCACACACACACCATCACACACACACCATCACACACACACCATCACACACACCGTCACACGCAGACACACCATCACACATACACCATCACACACACACCATCACAAACACACCATCACATGCACTGCTGCTGTGAATGTTGTTGTTATGAATGTTGTTGTTGTGAATGCAATTCAGGTGGTGGTGGTGATACATTTCACGCAGGGGTTTTAACCTCCTAACTCCGTATCCGTGTATGTAGTAGATGTATGTACAGTACTGCATATACATTCTACAGAATACACGGTGTACGTGGAACTAACTACAGGCTACACACACACTACAGGCTCTACACACACTACAGGCCGATCCCGTTATCAAATCGCTGGAAGCTCCGCAGCCTGTGAGCTCCTGGGTATCTGGACATCTATGGAAAGAGCTTTATAGCTCATCGGATTCCTCCCGTACACTTGCGGCTGATTCTGGATGGTGCGTTTCGATGGGATGCCACCAACATGCACAGCAGCTGCTCATCCCTGTGGTCCATGGCAGGGGCACATCCAGCAGTGGAGTGCCCGCAGCTGCTGCTTGTGCGTGTGTCCATTCGCTCAACCCAAATAGCATCACCAGCATCATCAACAGCACCATAGAAAACATAATCAGCATCACCATCATCACCACCACCACCACCATTATGACTGTCATCATCACCATCAACACCATCATCACCACCACCATTATGACTGTCATCATCATTACCATCAACAGCATCATCACCATCACCACCAGCAGCAGCATCACCATGACCATAATCAGCACTATTATAATCGCTATCAACAGCACCATGACCATAACCACCATTATTATAATCGCTATCATCACCATCAACAGCATCACCACCATTATCACTCTCATCATCGTCACCACCATCATTATCATCACCGTCATCATCAGCACCATCAAAACATCAGCACCACCGTCGTTACCATCATTATCATCATGATCACCAATATCATCACCATCATTATGATCACCACCATCGTCATTATTATTACCGTCATCGTCATCACCATTGTCAGCACCACCATCATCATTATCATCATTGTCATCACACAACCAGTGTGTGTTGGAGAGTTGTGGGTTTTACCCTCCAACACAACCAGTGTGTGTGTAGTAGGTTCAAGGAGGCTTGGACGACGTAGTCGGAGGCACACTTATTTATTGAACTTCAGTTGTATATACAGGCCGAGATATACAACACTCGAAGGGGTATCGGCCCCTTCACCCGCCTAACAGGGAGATCCCACAATCTGTCCCGGCTAGCCTACTCCCAGGTCCTCCACTAGAGAGCTAGGGGAGGCTAGCTGACCCAGCTCTGGCCAAGCTGGGATTACGGCACCCTGAGTCCCCAGACCGGCTCTTATAAGAACATCGGCTCTGGGCTCTCGGGGCCACGCCACTGGCTTGCCCTGGTCGGTCCTGAGAAGGACGGCGATCCAGGGGAGTCCCAGGGCCTATCTAGCCGGTCTTCCTTCTTCGCTGGTTAAAGCTAAACACTGAACCCCGAGCCCACCGGCTCACCGCCTTATATAGCAACTCCCCCACCGAGGGGTGGGGCCGTGGGGGATCCCAGCGCCGTTTTAGCCCCCCAGGCTAAACGGTGCGGACGTGGATGTAAGCATCCTTCCGCGTGCGAGCATAACAACCCCCGGTGTGTTTGTTCGCCCTCCTGTAACGCCTCTACATGTGTGTTGGAGAGTTGTGGGTTTTACTCTCCAACACACAGCCGGTGTGTGCTGAAACCAGAAACTGATGGGGCCACGTGGTGTGCGTGTCACGTGGCGGTGAAGAATGGGTCACGACGGCGGTTAGAGGCCGCCGCGCACGTGTTCGCGCGAGTTTGCACCGCACGGAGTCTCCTTCCGTGCGAGAGCGCAGAGCTACAGATGCCAGGACGTCTTAAATGATCACTTCTGCACTTCAATTAGAAAGTGGCTCCCCACTGATGTATCGATGTCCTTTAATTTAAAGGCGGCGACGAGGCTTGAGGCCAGCCATGCGTCAAGGTGAACTGGATTCGCCCATTCCTTCCCTTTGGCACCATTGTAGTGCTGCCTTGCTGTTGTGTATTCCTATGGCGGTATTATTACACGTTTACATTCTAGAGGTGGGTGAAGTTGTTTTTGAGTTGTATAAATATACATTAAAAATACACTGCTGAGGAGGCCCTTCATCCAGCAGTGGCTTGCACAAGGCTGATGATGCTCATGATGCTCATGATGATGATGGTGATGATGGTGATGATGATGCTCATGATGCTCATGATGATGATGGTGATGATGGTGATGATGATGCTCATGATGATGATGGGATCTCGGCTGCGTTACTTGACGAGTGTCTGTCTGCTACCGGCGTTCGTCGGCGCTGCCACTTGCTACTAACAGCACTTGCCCCATCAGTCTGATGCTATACGGCGAGGGGGAACCTTTGGCTGTGCACGTGGCCTGGAATCCCTGTGGATGCATCGGCGAGGGGTTTGCGCCAGAGTGCCTCTAGGATGTGTTCACTACCTCGTCTGGTGTGCAGGAGGCCGTGGGCTCGATCCCTACCCTGACACCTGCTGCTGCTGTATATTTGGAGTTTGCTTAATACGACCAATGTCATCCACAATTCATAATATCACAAATGATATTTCGCCAAAGTGGCTGATATCGTCATCGTGAGGAAATTGATAGGAGCAGCCACATCCTCTAAACGCGCGGTGATGTTGATTCTAAACGTGGAGGGGAAATCCACGCGACCGCCACAGAGAGAGAGCGAGAGACGCAAACTCCAAATCTACAGCGGCAGCAGCAGGCGTCGTCAGGGTCGGGATGGAACCCACGACCTCCTGTGTACCACGCGAGGCCGTTAACATCTCCTAGCCATCGTAGCCCCCCCCCCCCCCCCCCCCATAACATAGGAGCACAGAACTTGGATAATTACATTTTGACTTAAAGCTTTCGTGACTGCAGGAATTCATATTCTTTGGTTCTTTCGGTAAAGTCGGGCAGACAGAAAAATAATAAACAATAAAGTGAATCAAAATAATAAACAAAACCGCACCATCCGCCAAGCTGCTTCTCCCGTCATATAGAAAGAGTCACTTGAAACTCCGATCAAAACTATCACGTTGCCATACATAGCAGGCGTGACCAAAAAGATCTCCAAAATTCTAAACAAACATAAGATCCAAGTCCGATTCAGTACAGTACATAAAATCCGTGATCTAATTCCATCTGTGAAGGATGTCATTCCTGACTTGCAATACCCTGGAGTCTATAAACTGAGTTGCAGCTGTGGTGATTGTTACATTGGGGAAACGAAACGTCATATCTCTGATCGTGTCCGCGAGCACAAGTCAGATCTGAAACACGGCAAAATTGAGTCTTCCGCCGTTGACGATCATTGCTACAACGCTGTGGGCTCTCATGATATTGTCTTTTCCGAGACCAATGTGCTCTGCAAACCTTCTGGCTACCATCAGAGGTTTGTGCACGAAGCCATCCAGATATACAAACACAGACATCACTTCAACCGTGATGATGGGTACAAATTGAGTAATGATTGGAAAGTTGTTATTAACCATGTAATAAAGATTTAACTACACATATTTGGACCATCTTATCTGACAGGTACTATTCTACTTTACCGAGTGTTGACATCCCCAGCGTTTACCAGTGTTGCTTACTTTCATGCTTATTATCAGCTAACACCGGCCACAACCATGAGCCGATGTGCACCATTGTTCTCTTTTAGCCCCGCTCCCCAGGACCATCAGGCCACCCCCCTGGCTACCACATTCAGACAAGCCCCCCCCCTCCCCCCCTTAACTTGTATTTAAGGGCTTGTCTCTTGGATGTTTTCCTCACTTAATACAGTAAATTCAGCTGTGACGGTCCCACTTGATGACGGAGACTTGTGTTGCCTCCGAAAAGTCGTGATTTATTATTTTATTTCTAGAATTTAATTATTTATTTTATTACTATATCTTTTTACCTACGTGATTTTACCGAAACAACCTAAGAGTATAAAAAACAAAAACCACTAATGTAGACTGTAGCCTGGTAAAAAAAAACAGGCTACAGTCTACATTATAGACTGCCAGTACACTCACCCAGCTTAAAAGCCAGGCTACAGTCTACATTATAGACTACCAGTACACTCACCCAGCTTAATAACCAGGCTACAGTCTATATTATAGACTGCCAGTACACTCACCCAGCTTAATAATCAGGCTACAGTCTACATTATAGACTGCCAGTACACTCACTCCGATTAACCAGGCTACAGTATACATTAGTGGTTTTTTGTTGTTCATTATTTTAATTGTATTTTGTATTATTTTTCTATCTACGTGACTTTACCGAAATAACCAAAGAGTACTTGGACAATTCTCGGTGGCACCGATGTCTGTGGCTGCTTTCTCCCGTTGTTATCGTTGAACCTGCGGGAGCCCCTGTTACGACATTTACAACGCTAATTATTCTGAGTGTAGTGAGGTATATTGAGTCCCCATGGCGTCTATCGCTAGCTATTGGAAGAAGGGTAGCACTGCATGTTGGCGTCTCTCTCTGGCACCAGACAGTGCGCGTGGCACAGCAGCGAGAGCCCTAGGGGTGGGGGGGGGGGCGTGCTTCGGGTGACGGCCAGAGAGAGAGAGAGGGGGCACTGCAGAGGGCACTTGAGGTCATGGCAGTCTGGGTGAACCCGAGAGGGCACGTGACCGGGTAGCGAGGGGGCCAAGGGTTGGCGTGAGGGACACGTGATGCAGGGCCCAGAACCTTCTAGTAGGATCTAGAAGGGGGCGTGGCCGAGGGCGGAGCCAGGCCACTCTGAGGCATGAAAGTCCCGACATCCGATCGGGGCTGTCTTGTGGAATCAACCCGCCGTGCCAAGTCGTCTCGGTCTTTGAGCTCGGCATCGTGGGTCGGGCAGTGCGTTGCCGACTGACCCGTTTCTACAGTTACCCCGTTGTGGTGTAGTTAACCGGTGTGAGTTGCGTCGTTACCCTGTTGGGGTCCTGTAATAAAAGTGTTGCTTCCAAGTGTCGTGTGCGCCTCTGTAGAACCCACTACATAAGCATTATTAATTATTATAATGGTAAAATTATATAATAATTAATAATTGTTTGTTTTTTACTTGTGCGTTCAGGACATTTGGCCATCATGTCTCGACACCACGTGACTCCCCGCACCTCCTGCACCTCATCGCTGCTCGTGGCGTTCCGCGTCGTCGTCATCGTCGTGATGGCCACGGGCACCACCCCGGCCCTCTGCTCCCGGGGGACGCAGCGCGGCCCCCACCTCGGCCTGGGCCTGCACCCCCCGCACGGTGAGAGATCATCAGCGTCGTCGCATTGGTCTTCATCCAGCAGTAGACTGACCATGGTTACCGAGACACGGAGAGGAGCACGTGGATTAGAGAACATGCGCAGGGTGGAGACATTATCATCCAGCAGTGGGTATGTCACGACTTCATGATGATGACCAGTTACTTGGGCCTATCCAGGTGTTTCACCTAGAGTCCTTTACCCGTAAAGACTTGCCCCCACCATAGGAATGTGGAATTTCCACTTCTGGCTGTGCAGCAGGGCTGTCAACGGGATGGAGCGCCAACGCTTCGGCACCCATTCTGAGCAGCAGCAGTCGTAGTTGTAGCAGCGGTAGTAGTAACAGCATGGGCAGTAGTAACAGCAGCAGCAGTAGTAACAGTAGGGGTATTGGTGGCAGCAGCAAGGAATGAGTCGGTGACTTTTGTTCGTGTTGTTTTAAACTCCGCTCCACCATTGCCCCCCTCTCTCTCTCTGCAGCGCCGCCCGGCACTTCGTTCACAACCAAAGCAGGAAGCAGCAGCAGCAGCAGCAGCACGAGTGGCAGCCCCGGCAAGAACAGCAGTTGGCACCACCATCCTCTGCTCTCCTCGTCCTCCTCCAACGCAACCTCCTCCACTCCCGCCACGGCGTCCCCGCCCCGCGCCGGCGGCGAGTACCCCCGCGACCTCTTCTCGCTGGCGCAGCGCCGCCGCGGCGCGGCCGTCCTTCACCTGGCCGGCGTGGCGTACACCTTCGTCGCGCTGGCGCTCGTCTGCGACGAGTTCTTCGTGCCCGCCCTGGGCGCCGTCTCGGAGCGGCTGGCGCTCGCCGACGACGTCGCGGGCGCCACCTTCATGGCGGCGGGCGGCTCCGCGCCGGAGCTCTTCACGGCGCTCGTCGGCGTCTTCCTGGCGCGCAGCAACGTCGGCGTGGGCACCGTCGTCGGCTCGGCCGTCTTCAACGTCTTCTTCGTGGTGGGGGTCTGCGCGCTGGCGTCGCGCGCCCCCCTGCGCCTCCGCTGGCGCCCGATGTTCCGCGACGCGGCGTTCTACGCGCTGGCGCTGGCGCTGGCAATCGGCGCGTTTGCCGACGGGCGCGTCGAGTGGTGGGAGAGCGTGCTGCTGCTCGCCAACTACGCCGCCTACGTGGCCTTCGTGGCGCGCGGGGCCTGCGCCGCGGGCTGGCTCCGGCGGCGGCTGCGGTGGGACGGCGGCGGCGGCGACGGTGGTGGTGGTGGCGGCGGCGGCGGCGGCTGCGGTGGTGGCGGTGGTGGCGAGAGCGTGGGGGCTGCAACTACCGCTGCACCTGCACCTGCCGCCGCTGCTGCCGCTGCTGTCCAGCCCGTGGCGATGGAGGCGGCCAGGAGGAATGAGGTGAGAGCGTGGGGGTTTCTCTCGGCGGGCTCCGCTATCCTCCTCCCGATAGCACCAGCATGTATAGAGAGAGGACGGCAGAGCTTAGAGGGTAATCGTTGGTTGCGCAAGCTCGGCACCGCGTGGCTGCTGCTGCTGCTGCGGCTATTTCTGCTGCGGCTATTGCTGCTGCGGCTGCTGCTGCGGATGCTGCTGCGGCTGCTGCTGCAGCTACTGCTGCTCCCTTTCTCCTCGTTGTCGTCTGTGGTTCCTATCCAGGTGCCCCCTCTCTACGAGTCGCCCTCTCTCTCTGTCGCCCCCCCCCTCCCCCACCGCTCTCTGCACGAGCGTGAGGAGCTGGCGCACCGTGTGATGGCGCCTTACCCAGGACACGCGCGCGCTCCCCCACGTCCGTGCACGCTCACGAACCACTCGAGTGGCCGTGGTGACATCACCAGCAATGCCTGCGCCAGGCTAGGTGCACCCTGAGAATACGTGAAGTGTGGAAGGGAGGCTCGCCACTGCGAGTAAGTGGGGTGGAGGTGATGATGGCCACCGCTGCTGTGTCTGTCTGTCTGTGTGTCTGTCTGTGTCTGTCTGTCTGTGTGTCTGTGTGTGGGCGAGCGGTAGTGCAGCGGTTGGGTGCGCTGGCTCTACAAACCTAGTGACCTAGGCTCGATTCCCGCTCGTGGCCAACACCAGTGACGATTATCTGAACCGGTCCTGGGCCTCTCCAAGGTCGACTTGAGCTCAAATGAGTACCTGGTGCGGTGTGTAAAACATCGCCACTAGGGAGACAAAGGCAGCCAGGCGTGGTGTTGGCCACTCATCCCCTCGAGTGCCTTTCATAGCTGCTACTCAGTCTGTTTGGGCTATATGGGGATCTTTGTGCGCGTGCACGATCTCAATTGAGTTGTTAGCTGTGCAAGTGGTAAATTCGTGTGTTTATCTATTTCGGGGCATTTGAGGTGGCAGCAATCTTTAACGTCGTCCCACTGTGAGCGATGGCAAAATGGAGCAAGGGGAGAGGAGAGGATCGCAAACGCAAAACAGCAGCAGAGGCGACCCCCGCACCTGCAACCACTCGCTACAACAACCGCCATTCGCCACTAAGTGCCAGGCTAGGTGCACTTTGAAGTCACGTAAAGTGTCGAACGCTACCCGCTGGCAGGAGGTCACGGGGCAGACCCAGGTGCCACGGGTCGACTGACTCAGATGACTGAGATGACTGGCTGATGCACCACCTGTGCCCCTTACTGTGCCAACTTCCTGTGTTTTAGCCACCCGGCGCTCCGCTTGTTGTTGTGAGTGCCGCTCCTCCGCCCTCCGTTGTTGCTGGAGGGCGACTGCCTCCAACTGCCCAGTAGCGTCCTTCACGAGCCTCCACAGAGGCCGATCTTGACACCGCTGGTACCAGTCATCGGCAAGTCCACATCCTCGTGTACCACATCACTTCATTTTTTTCTCTAGCCCGTGCTGCGACCGTTTTGCCCCCTCGATCCGGCTGAAAAAACGCTGTTTAGGCATGCGGTGGCTGGGCATGTGGGCTACATGACCCAGCCAACGCAGCCTTGCCCGCCGGAGGAGCTCACCGATGGGACTTTGTCCAGATCTTTCAAGGATTTGTGAGCAGCTCACACAATCCAGCCTGGTTAAACCCAGGATGGATCGTAGTCAGGCACGCCTAAATGGTTCTAAATGGTGAAGATGTTCCATTAGGGGGGGTCCACGTTTCGCAAGCGTAGAGAAGGGTGGGAATGACTGTGGCCGAGAAGACCTGAAACTTCGTGCGGAGCGACAGACCAGGTAGATTCTACACAGCGTTACGCAACTGATGAAAAGATATTGCCACTCGACTGATTCAGAGTGAGACCTCTGCTGTTAAACTGGAGCTGGTCATGATCACACTTCCCAGGTATGGGAAACTCTCCGCTCTCCACAACTGCCCTATCACCAAGTGGGAGTTGTGGTGGTGGAGTGTCAGATGGTACAAAATACCCAGGCAGGTGCTTAGTTTTGGTGGGGCTGATGGTAAGGCCCCACCTCTTCGTGGCACGCTCCAGGTTCAGCAGCAGCGCCTCTAACTCCTCTGAGTGAGCAGCAATTACCGGATCATCGGCATACATAACGTGGTTGAGCAATAGGGAGCCATCCCTTGACGGCACCCGCGCATCGATCAGCCTCCCATTGTATTGACACCAGATGGATATTCCTCTGGTACAGCTGTAGTGGTGATACGCGCTGGGATTAGGGATCGTATGCCAGCGCGTAATGATTGGCTGTGTATGTGGTGACGCGCGCTGACGGTGGAGGATCAGGGGTCAGCGCGGGGTCGTGGGTTACGGGGTACTGATTGGCTGTGGGCCGGTGACGCGCTGAGAGGGAGTGACCGGGTGGCAGCGCGGTGTGATTGGTGGAGTAGTGTTAACACGCGCTGGGGAAAACGGATCGTAGAGAGAGTGCGTCGTGATTGGTTCACTAAGGAGCGATGCTCACGTCGACGTCCGCATCAGCTCCGTCTCTCGTGAGCAGGGGCTATAAAAGGGGATGCACACAGGCGTAAGGGCAGTATGTAACCAGCGAAGAATGAAGACGGGGATGAAGACATAGGGCCCTGCGGTACCTAGTCCCGCTGTCCTAACGGGACCGGGACTCTGTGTAACCCAGAGGCGAGTGTAGTGTGTGTAGCCATAGGCATAAGGTCTACACGAGCCGAATGTATTGTGTGTAGCCAGAGGTATAGGGTCTACACGAGTCAAGTGTATTGTGTGTAGCCAGAGGCATAGGGTCTACACGAGTCAAGTGTATTGTGTGTAGCCAGAAGCATAGAGTCTACACGAGTTAAGTGGAGTGTATAGTCCAAAAGGATAGAGACCACCCGTTGTATTGTGACACGTCAAGATTTAATAAAAGTGTGTTACCCGTCAAGAAGTTCCTGCCGTCAATTCCAATACTTCACAGCTATTGAAGGCTTCATGAACTACGTGGTCGAAATAGATGTTAAATAATGTGGGAGCCAGAGGGCATCCCTGTCGCACCCCAAGGTGGACAGGGAATGGTTCCGACTCTTGGCCACGTAGTTTTACCTGGGCCCGCTCACCATCATGAAGGTCCTTAATGATCGTGAGCAGGGGGTCAGGGACTCCGAAATCATGAAGAACAACCCGGAGCCCAGGCCTACTGATGGTATCATAGGCTTTGACCAGGTCAATAAAGCCGAGATGTAGGTCTTGTTGGAATTCCCTACACCTCTGCTGTAGCAGACGGACAGAAAATATGGCATCTGTGCCCTATCCTGAAACCGCATTGGGGCTCCGCAAGCCTCTCCTCAGCGTGCCTAGCAAGGCGATGTTGAATAATCCTTGCCAGGACCTTTTCCGGCACACTGAGGAGTGAGATGCCCCTGTAGTTGTTAGTCTGTGCGGTCACCCCCTTCTTAAAGAGGGGGACCACTAGGGCATCCTTCCAATCCTGCGGAACACATCCAATGGTCCAGACTGTTATATGATGTCATGTAGGGCAGTCTGTGCACAAACACCACCCTCCCTCAGCATTTCGCTTGGGAGATCATCTCTGACCAGTTTCTTTCCTTGCCTCAGGCTCTGGATGGCCTTCAGTGCTTCAGATGGCACCTTCAGCCAGCTACTCACAGGGGGCGGCGACTTCCAATATATGAGGCACTGCAGCCTCGGCAGGGTCATACCCACTTTGTCCCACGTTGTTTTCCAGGCTGAGGGATTTCCCCTCCCCCATGACCTCGCAGAAATGCTCAACAAATATTTAAACCTGTTCCTTGGGGTCGGAGATTGCATCACCGTTTTTTCCCCTAATGATGATAGCAGGTGTGGCACTGCGGGTTACTTGTTTGATGGAATTAGGGAGATTTGTGATTGTGGGCCATTGAGCTTCGCACACCTCGCTGCCACGCTCCCACGCCCCCTTCATTATTTTGTTCAGAAGAAGAACCACCCCCTGTTGTTTGGCAGTCTCCTGCCCCGAGTAGAGGACTGTCCACCCCTCATGCTGGCAGGAGCCAGAGCCTATCTACCGGACCTCCTGCATACCACAGAGATCCAGGCGGTACTAGTTCAGCACATGGCCGTCCATAGTGGCTTTTTGTTGTTTCTGGAGGAGCCCTGAGGGTAAGGATTCTGTCTCCTGGCTCCGCCAAATGTGGTTTTGCCAGGAGACGTCAAAGACGTCTGTCCTCCTGGAGCCTCTGGCACAAGCTGAATTAATTTAAATTCATTTTATAATCGTAGTTTAGTGGTAGTTAATTGAAGGTGGAGGGGTTACCAACCCCTCGCACCCGTTCAGAGCCCCCATCTGACCGCTGTGGTGGTTACCCACCACAGCATTGCCGTCTGGCACCACGAGGAGGTAGGGGGTTGTTTTTGCCACACACTCTCCGCCATACACATCCACACACACACTCACCGCCACACACACATACACACACTCATCGCCACACACACACACTCGGCGTCACCTTCACACACATACACACACACACATACACTCACCACAGCTTCCACATGCAAATCGCGACCCTTCATTAGTGATGCAGAATGCCAAGTGCCGGATTAAAACTCACACGGCCTCCCTTTCAAGTCAACCACCCGCACCACGCCACCCGCACCTCTCGCCCACCCACCTGCTCCACGCCACCCGCTCCCCCCACAACTCTCGCCCACCCACCCGCACCACGCCACCCGCACCACTCGTTACTAGTTCAGCACTAACTGGTGTGTCGCAGAGTAAACACAACACATTACAATTCGAGTACGACGTTTCGCCAGTAATTGCACCTAGCCTCATCAGGCAACAGCCAGGGTGGTGGAGAAATCCTCCTGGTTCGATCGTAAATGGAGCGGATCAATGTGGCGTCGCTTGTGAGCCAATCGGGTGCGAAGACCAGAGAGGGGGGGGGGGGGTAATGTGGGCCCATAAACATGGGGGGGGGGTAATGTGGGCCCATAAACATGGGGGGGGGGGTTAATGTGGGCCCATAAACATGGGGG